TGGAGTTTACGCTCACCACAAGGAGTCAGCAGGCACCCCTGGCTTTCCAGGCAGGGGGGCAGCATGGTGACTTCATCTATGTGGACATATTTGAGGGCCACCTGCGGGCTGTAGTTGAAAAGGGCCAAGGTACCATGCTGCTCCATAACAGCGTGCCTATGGCTGATGGGCAGCCCCATGAGATCAGCGTGCACATAGATGCTAACAGGCTGGAAATCTCCGTGGACCAGTACCCTACACGTACTTCAAACCGTGGCATCCTGAGCTACCTGGAACCACGTGGCAGTCTCCTCCTTGGAGGGCTGGACAGAGAGACTTCCCGTCACCTCCAAGAACACCGGCTAGGTCTGGTGTCAGGGTCTGCCAATGCCTCCCTGGTAGGCTGCATAGAGGACCTCAGTGTCAATGGCCAGAGGCAGGGGCTCCGGGATGCCTGGCTGACCCGCAGTATGGCAGCTGGCTGCAGGCCCGAGGAAGATGAGTATGAGGAAGATGCCTATGGTCCATATGAAGCTTTCTCTACCCTGGCACCCGAGGCCTGGCCAGCCGTGATGCTGCCAGAGCCATGTGTTCCTGATCCAGGACTGCCTCTTGTCTTTGCAAATTTCACCCAGCTGCTAACCATTAGCCCACTGGTGGTGGCTGAGGGTGGCACAGCCTGGCTTGAATGGCGACATGTGCAACCCACACTGGACCTGATGGAGGCAGAGCTGCGGAAGTCCCAGGTGCTATTCAGTGTGAGCCGTGGGGCACGTCATGGAGAGTTGGAGCTGGACATCCCAGGTGCCCAGGCCCGGAAAATGTTCACCTTGCTGGACGTGGTAAATCGTAAGGCCCGCTTTGTCCACGACGGCTCTGAGGATACCTCTGACCAGCTGATGCTAGAAGTGTCAGTGACGGCCCGAGTGACTGTGCCCTCCTGTCTGCGGAGGGGCCAAACTTACATATTGCCCATCCAGGTGAACCCTGTCAATGACCCTCCCCGTATCATCTTCCCTCATGGCAACCTAATGGTGATCCTAGAACACACACAGAAACCACTGGGACCTGAGATTTTCCAAGCCTATGACCCAGACTCTGCCTGTGAGGGCCTCACCATCCAGCTCCTTGGCACCTACACTGGTGTCCCTGTGGAGCATCGAGACCAGCCCGGAGAGCCAGTAACTGAGTTTTCCTGCCGGGAGCTGGAGGCAGGCAATATAGTCTACATTCACCGTGGTGGGCCTGCACAGGACCTAACATTCCGCGTCAGCGATGGGATGCAGGCTAGTGCCCCAGCTACACTGAAAGTAGTGGCTGTCCGGCCAGCGATACAGATCCACCATAGCACTGGACTGCACCTGGCTCAGGGTTCTGCCGCATCAATTTTGCCTGCCAACCTGTCAGTGGAAACCAATGCTGTAGGGCAGGATGTAAGCGTGCTGTTCCGAGTCACCGGCACCCTGCAGTTTGGGGAGCTGCAGAAACAGGGAGCAGGAGGAGTAGAGGGTGCTGAGTGGTGGGCCACACAGGCATTCCACCAACGCGATGTGGAGCAGGGTCGCGTGAGGTACCTAAGTACTGACCCACAACACCACACCCAGGACACAGTGGAGGACCTGACCCTGGAGATACAGGTGGGCCAGGAGACATTGAGCAATCTGTCTTTCCCAGTGACCATCCAGAGGGCCATGGTGTGGATGCTGAGAATGGAGCCACTGCATACTCAAAACCCCCATCAGGAGGCCCTCACCCTAGCTCACCTAGAGGCTGCCCTGGAGGAGGAGGCAGGCCTACGCCCTCACACCTTCCACTATGAGCTGGTTCAGGCCCCCAGAAAAGGTAACCTTCAGCTCCAGGGCACAAGACTGTCTGACGGCCAGAGCTTCAGCCAGGATGACCTGCAGGCAGGTCGGGTGACCTATAGGGCCACAGTGCGGGCTTCGGAGGCAGCCGATGACTCATTCCGTTTTCGTGTCACAGCTCCACCACACTTCTCCCCACTCTACACCTTCCCCATCCACATTGGTGGTGACCCAAATGCTCCTGTCCTCACCAACGTCCTCCTTGTGGTACCTGAGGGAGGAGAGGAAGTCCTTTCTGCTGACCACCTCTTTGTCAAGAGTCTCAACAGCGCCAGCTACCTCTATGAGGTCATGGAGCGACCGCGCCATGGGAGGTTGGCTTGGCGGGGACCACGGGGTAAGGCCACCCCAGTGACATCCTTCACTAATGAGGACCTGCTGCGTGGCCGGCTGGTCTACCAGCATGATGACTCTGAGACCACAGAGGATGATATCCCATTTGTGGCCACTCGCCAGGGAGAGGGCAGTGGTGACATGGCCTGGGAGGAAGTGCGAGGTGTCTTCCGAGTGGCCATCCAGCCTGTGAATGATCATGCCCCTGTGCAGACCATCAGCCACATCTTCCATGTGGCCCGGGGTGGACAGCGACTACTGACTACAGATGATGTGGCCTTCAGTGATGCTGACTCAGGCTTCACCGATGCTCAGCTGGTGCTGACTCGTAAGGACCTCCTCTTTGGCAGCATTGTGGCTGTGGAGGAGCCCACACGGCCCATCTACCGCTTTACCCAGGAGGACCTCAGGAAGAGGAAAGTCCTGTTTGTGCACTCTGGGGCTGATCATGGCTGGCTCCAACTGCAGGTGTCTGATGGGCAGCACCAGGCCACTGCCATGCTGGAGGTGCAAGCATCTGAGCCCTATCTTCGTGTAGCCAACGGCTCCAGCCTTGTGATTCCACAAGGAGGCCAAGGCACCATTGACACAGCCATGCTCCACCTGGACACCAACCTAGATGTCCGCAGTGGAAATGAGATCCACTATCATGTAACAGCTGGCCCTCACTGGGGGCAGCTGCTCCTGGCTGGCCAGCCAGTCACCACCTTCTCTCAGCAGGACCTGTTGGATGGAGCCATTCTCTATAGCCACAATGGCAGCCTCAACCCCCATGACACCCTGGCCCTGTCTGTGGAAGCAGGGCCAGTACACACGGATACAACCCTACAAGTGACCATTGCCCTAGAGGGCCCCTTGGCCCCACTGCAACTGGTCCGGCATGAAAAGATCTACGTCTTCCAGGGGGAAGCAGCAGAGATCAGAAGGGACCAGCTAGAGGTAAGGAGCCAGAGATGGTGAGCAGGGCCATGGGCCAAGCAGAGGGACCCTTCCATGAAGAGGATGTAACTGTGATGATGCTGGGGTTAGGAGTATGTGTGTACCTTGGGTACTTACCTGTGTGTGTTGTAGTTCCACAAGCTTCTAGAGAAATCTGTCATCTATACATCCACCTATAAGCTGTGTGTACAGATACCAAACACACGTGTCCTTGCTATATAGTAACCATGCAAAATCTGGGCTCCAAACCAGACCCACAGACTCCCTGAAATAGAATCCAAGAATCTGTATTCCTGCCTGGCATGGTGGCTCAAGGCCTTTAATCTCTACACTCCAGAGGCAGAAGTAGGTGGATCTCTGTGAAATCAAGGCCACTTTGGTCTACATAGGGCGTTCCAGGCCAGCCAGGGCTACAGGAAGACCCTGTCTTTAAAAAAAAAAATTCTGTATTCTAATAAATTCCCTGGAAGGTTATTGCAGGTATTGAGCATTGAGAACTGCTGCCCTTCAGAATCCTGTGTCTTCAGCAATTTTCCTAGACCCTATACCAGAACTCTAAGGGTCTACAAAGAGCTTCTAACTACTCAGGGAGCTCACAGAGCATCCACAGGTCATCCAGCAGGCTTACTGACATGCTGTGTGACTTTCCCAGACCCTTGCCAATTTATGAGGCCCTTCTGGTTCTGGGTGTTTGGGTTTTGAGGCAGATTGTGACATCTGGTGTCAGGAAGCGCCCACACACTGGAGGAGAGAGCTTTTGAGCCAAGCTTTGAAGAATAGTGAGGTGTCAATAGCAAAAACTAGGAGACAATATTCCAAGAAAAGGGAGCATGCCATGAAAAGACACAGAATCAGAAGTGTGAATTTAGAGTGTCTAGTTAGATTTTTTTGTGGCTAGATCATCAGTGGAGGAAGTATCCAGCCACCTTTGGACTGTAGTTCTCTTGAGAATCTGGAGTTTGGGAGCCTGTGCTTCTAGGAATGGTGGGGGTGCCCTCTAGTGGTTGGTGGTGGCACTAGAAGGATTGGGGACAAAAGGTCCCAAGTAAATCACCTATCACAGACCTGAGCCTGAGCCTGAGCCTCTGTGTGTGTGTGTGTGTGTGTGTGTGTGTGTGTGTGTGTGTGTGTGTGTGTAAAACTGTGTCAATATGTGATGACATTATGCCTTTGACACTGAAATTGATTCTGGGCATGTGGCCCCTCTGACCAGCCACATGCCAATGTTTTGTATGTGAACCCAAGTGCGCATGAGCAGCAATGTCTTTGAGGGATGAGGGCATGTGGAGACAGCCTGTTCTGCCAGCTGAGGTTCATGACAGCCTCCCTTGTGACACTGTGTGTCCCTGCAAACTCTTTTGACCAGGCAGCCCAGGAGGCAGTGCTGCCAGCAGACATCATGTTCTCAGTGAGGACCCCCCCAAGCGCTGGCTACCTGGTGATGGTATCCCATGGCATTTCAGCAGATGAGCCACCCAGTCTGGACCCTGTGCAGAGTTTCTCCCAGGAAGCAGTGGACAAAGGCAGGGTTCTCTACCTCCACTCCCGTCCTGAGGCCTGGAATGATTCCTTCTCCCTGGATGTGGCCTCTGGCCTAGGCACTCCTCTTGAAGGCATCCTTGTGGAGTTAGAAGTGCTACCCACAGTTATCCCACTGGAGGTGCAAAACTTCAGCATTCCTGAGGGTGGCACTCGAACCCTAGCCCCTCCGCTGCTCCACATCACTGGGCCTTACTTCTCCAAACTGCCAGGCCTTGACCTACAGGTGCTAGAGCCACCCCGGCATGGGACCCTGAAGAGAGAAGGTCAACCTCAGGATGGGAGCCTCAGCACTTTCTCCTGGAGAGAGGTATGGCTGTTCAGGAGACCCCAGGGCCACAGCCCAGTTTTAGTTACCTGTACTGGTTTATGCTTTATCTCTGGGAGGTGAAAACTATTGTCCCCCCCCCCTTTCTACTCATGGAAACAGGGGGCTAAATGAATCTGTCTTCTCCTGTACCCAACAACAGGGCATTAAGGGTGCTAGTCCTAAGACCCTTGGGGACTCTCAGGCCAGCTGCAGGCTGACAGCTAGCCCTGGGTCTGCTTGTAGGTAGAAGAGCACCTGATCCGCTATGTACATGATGGAAGTGAGACACTGACAGACAGTTTTGTCCTGGTGGCTAATGCCTCAGAGATGGATCGCCAGAGCCGCCCCATGGCCTTCACTATCACCATCCTGCCTGTTAATGACCAACCCCCTGTCCTCACTACAAACACAGGCCTGCAGGTGAGTTCACTCCTAGGACCACACCATTTATGCTCCTATAAAGAAGCCAGGGTCCCTTACTTGCCAACAAATAGCTCCCATTCTCAGAGGTTTAGTTTCCTCTTCTGCAAAATGGATTCCCTGCTACATATCTGGGTTGTTGGAAGGAGATGTGATGATACTGCACTGAAAATAGAATGCAGTTATGAGGCTTTGTTATAAATACACAGTGGGCAGCCTTGTGAATGGCCATACCTGGCCCTGTTATTCCCTGAACCAACCTGCAGCAGAAGGCTTCCCTATGCCTCAGAACTAAAATGCCTGTCAAAATTTCTTACAATCCTTGAAAGTTGGGCTTCAGGTGGGAGCTTAGGGCCACAACAAAATAAAAGTCACAGCTAGGGTCTCCATATTTTTATCCCTTCTATAGCTGCCCACTAGTAACACCCTCATTTGGCAGAGATAGGAGGTGATGCCCAAATAAGGATAGAACTCCATGGTCACAAATGTATCTGTGAAACAAAAGGGTGTAGCTTAAAAGCCCATACAGCACGACAGTGGATAGACTAGGCTTGGAAGGCCAGTTTCTAGGGTATAGACTCCCTACCATCAAGAGCTATGGAAAGTCTCAGAATAGGACTAACTTGTTTCTGAAATGGGGTATATAGTGTACCTGTGGGAAGTGTCTAGGTGATAAAGAGGAAGAGTGGGACTTCATCTACACAAGCTAAGGGCAGTCTGGAACCACAAGCCAGGAATGCTATATGACAGACTGACCACCAGGTGGTGGTCTCCACCCATGTTTGCTCCCAATACTGAAGCCTCCTCTTCCAGGAGCTGTGGGAGGGACAGCCTCCATGTGCAAGTGCAGGTGAGAAAAAGTTGTTTTTTAGTATAAGGACCCCACCTAGGACGACCCTAGTAACTGACCCTGTACCACATGGAACAGGACTCAGGAAGAGGATCTTGCCCTGCTACAGTTGGGTGGGGGGAGGGGGGGGTCGCTAAGTGTTCCCCCTTCACTCTGCATGAGGAGACTGACATTGAGGGCAATTGCACCATGTAGGTCAGAGGACCAACCCTCCACCTTTCTCCCTTCCACCTCCTGCCCAGCCCTCAGCTGGCAGGCAAGTCCATTTCTAAGTATCCTGGGAGGGCCAACCCTGCTACCTCCATCCTGTGCCTACCCCTGCCAGGTGGTGCATGCAATGGCAGGAGAGGAGGGAGAGACCTACCAGCCATTAAGACACAGATGAAGCAGCACCATTGGTCAGGGATGGGGATCTCTGGGAAGTGAAGACTTGGTGAGGATCAGAACGGGTTTTTTTCCATATGGGAAGTGGTGAGCTAGCCTTAAGATACAAGCAGGATTAGGACAGGTGGGAAAGAAAGAACCTGAGGCTCAGGTGACAAGAAGGAGAATAGTGTGGAAGGCCCTTTATGCCAGGGAAAGCCCAGAAAGGCACAAGCCTCTGTGCCAGCTGGGGGACTCAGTACAGCAAGATAGGGCCCTGATGGCAGCGCCAGGGTCAGGAGGAGGAGGAGGGTGGGTGGAACAATGAGGATGGAGCTTTCACAGACTTGTGCCCCCAGATCTGGGAAGGGGCTACTGTGCCCATCCCTCCTGAGGCCCTCAAGAGCACAGACAATGACTCAGGGACAGAAGACCTGGTCTACACCATCGAACAGCCTAGCAACGGACGGGTAGTGCTGCGGGTGGCACCAAGCACAGAGGTCCGCCACTTCACACAGGCCCAGCTGGACAGTGGGCTCGTACTGTTCTCACACAGAGGTAAGTGCTGAGTGGGACCTTTGGCCCCAGGGGGATTCTTTGAGAGGAGGAGCCACCTTGGGTCAATGAGCCCAAGCTCCGTTTTCTGTGCTCAGGAGCTCTGGATGGAGGCTTCCGCTTCAACTTCTCTGATGGCAAGCACATGTCCCCTGGACAATTCTTCCGAGTGGTGGCTCAGAAGCAAGTGCTCCTCTCTCTAGAGGGCAGCCAGACATTGACTGTCTGCCCAGGTGAGTATGCCAAGCCTAAGCGTTTCTGCAAGCTGGGTAGCTGGGGCAGTACGGAGGGTGGCCCAGCAGGATTCTGCTGGCAGTTCCAAGCCTTGCCTAGACTTCTGTCAAAAGCTGACAAGCTCCTTTGTCCTTTGTAGAGTCTATGCAGCCACTTAGCAGCCAGAGCCTGAGAGCCAGCTCCAGCACAGGCACTGACCCCCATCACCTGCTCTACCGGGTAGTACAAGGCCCCAGGCTTGGCCGACTCTTCCATGCCCAGCAGGGTAGTGCTGGAGAGACCCTGGTGAACTTCACCCAGGCTGAGGTAAGGGCCCCCACTCCTCAGTCACCACACAGGCACCACACACACACAGAGCACACACAAATTGGCAGTTGAACCTTCCAGGGCTAGGCCCCCAAAAAGGAAACTGCAGCTAGATCCTAAGGTCACCATTAAGGAGCAGTAGTGGCACACCCCAGTGATTGGTGAAGGACCTTGCTTGCTTACATGGAGGAGAGTTCAGGATAAAGTTGAGCCTAGAGACAAAAGTGAGCCCAGGACTCGGGTCAGGTGCTAGAGGGGAGCAGAGCCCTCTGGAGAACCGATGAGTCACAGGCATCTAAGTAGCCCAAGCTGTGAGGGAAGCACTATCCACCCTATAGAGCAGAGCTTCCAGGGCACACCAGTTTTTTCAGTTGCCAAGTAGAGGCTACCTAAGCTGCTGGGCTGGCAGGGCTCCACCAGTGGGGGCCAGCAATCATCGCTTACCATATCCTCTGGCTGGTTCCCACAGGGTCTGTGGCATTGTGAACAGCTCCTCCAGGTCATGGTGGACAGGTTCTTGCAGGGGCTCTGCTAGGCAGATAGCACATCTAGAGGCCATGTGAGCACCTAGACCCGGCACATGAGCCCAATGAGTCCTATATGAACATCAGGGGACACAACTGACCTGCCACACTCTGGTGCTGCTCCAAAAACTTTCCAGAGGGGCTTACCCTGGCCCTTGAAAATGGCAGAGCCTATCCCCAGATCTCTTTCCAACAGTCCTTCCCCTCAGAAATCTCCCGGGCCCTGCAAGTTCCTCCCCACCCCATCAGGGTATGTGTTCTTTCTGAGAAGTACCTGGAATGGAGGCACTAACAAGTGAAAAGCCAAAGTCCCCAGCAAACAGATAGCTCAGAGGAAGAAGGTAGCTTGACTAGAGTGAAGGGGGAGGTTCCTCAGATCTGTCGCATCAGTAACCTAGGCTTACGCTCTATCTGCTCCTAAGGCCCTGGCATCTGCCATGGCTCCTTCCTACCCCCTCCGCACAATGAAATACCAGGCCAGAGACTGGAGCAGCTGTGGCCCTGAGTTGCTAGGAGCCTTGTCATCAGATACCAGGGAAGGGAGAATAGGACAAGGCCATGAGTTCCCCTCCCCAACCCAATAGTGCCCACATTAACCTAGTGCTTCCTCCAAACTTCAGCAACAAGAAGCAGACTGAATGGCCACCAGGGGGCCAGCCTGGCAGTGCCACTCAGGGAGCCAGGGAGCCAGGGAAGAGGCTACGTGGCAGACACCCTCCTCCACTGGAGGAAGACAAGGCAAGGCTAAGGAGTGGCTTGATAGCCCCACTGTCCTTCAAGAGTCTGGGCTGGACAGGGCAGGGCTCAGGTAGCCTCAATTTGCAGATAAGGAAATGCTTATAGGGGTCAGGTGATTTTGTACATGGCTAGTAAGAAGCAAAACCAGAACTCAGTCTTCTGACTGCTGCCAAGATTCCCTTCACCTAAGGACACTGCTTGTTTCCCACAGCTTGGGGGACCACTGCACACCTGGCCTGCATTTGCTTTATTCCTATCCAGACCTCCAGGAGCGTGGTAGCCATCTGTTGGCCTCCCCCTTCAATTGGTGGGGGTCTCCATCTCCCACTCTGCCCACCTGTCAGCCTTGGCCAGAGGTTATGACTGACAGTCCTCAGCCTTTTCAGGCATATCTGGTCCACATATGTATTTTATTTGGCCACACATTACATTTAACATTTTAGTATTAGTTGTCGACATCGAAGCTTTGGGAAGTTTCACACAAACCTGATTCCCTGATTCTTCAAAGGCCTGTGTTCCTTCTTATGGCAAACCACTGAGGAGCCGTACCTTCCTTGCACAGGACCTGCTGCCTAGGCAGACAGCTCAATCCTGGCTCAGCACAGCCCTGGTGTGCTGCTCTAGGACTCTAAGCTCTTTTGCTCACTAAGATCCCCCTCCTTTTCCGGTTTACTATTGCATAATTCCTGTTTTTCTAAAAGGAAAATCGTTTCCTGTGTCTCCTAAAAGAGGAAAACAAAAGATAAGACCCAAGGATACATTTTGATTAGAAGGGGAACAGTTCTCTGTGGAAATGAATATTACTGTGTTCAGTATACAAGTGGCCCTAAAAAAAACACCTGTGGCTGGCAGAGTTGTTGTGACAGGGAACTGAGGTCTCAGGAGTAACAGGATCATAATAGAGTCTTTGTGATCAGATAGTGAGCAGCTTTTGAGCAAGAGAGTGAGCTAACAAGCCAGGCACAGTGACACCATCCAGCTACTTGAAAGGCTGAGGCAGGAAAATCCCTTGAGCCCAAGAGTTTGAGGCCAGCCTGGGCAACATAGTAAGACCCTGATTCAAAAGAAAAACAGAGTGACCCAACTTTACATTTTCAAAATCTCATTCTGGTTTCCATGTTAGGACACTGTAGAGGCAGTGGACAGGGGCAAAGCCTGGGACAGTCAGGAAACATGTAATAATCTAGGCAGGAACTGGGTGGTGAGGGAGAGAGGAGTCAAGGAGGCCTGAGGGAGGGGGGTTGCCTGAGCCACTGAGCAGCAGAGCTGCTGTCATGGTGATGGAGACTTGGGAGGCAAGGCCACTGGGGCCCATCTGGGCCTATGAAGCCTGAGATGTCTATTAGATATCTCTGCGAACTGCCAAGGACACAGGTGGAAATCTGAGACTGGAGTTCAGGCAAAAACGAGAGTAAACTGGGCCAGAGATCCAGATAAAGGCCATTTGAATTCCTGAGGCTCTTAGAGAGTATATAGGACAGATTATGCTGCAAGATGCAGTACTAGCAGAGTCTGTGAGGTAGGATGGAAACCTAGAGCAGAACAGCCCAGAAGTTCTATTATGTCAAATGACTCTGAGCATTCAGTGAGACCTGAGACCCATCTTTGGGTCTAATGCGTAAGGCCTATTAGTGCCCTTGGTGAGAATGGGTCTGGTGATAATCAGGGGAACAAAATCTTGAGTGGCATGACCTAAGGCTATGTAGTAACAGTGGAGACTATTCTTGGGGAGTTTTGCTGCAAAGAGAAGTAATAAAAGGGAGGAGGAAGCCAATACCAATAGAAAATGTGAACTCTGGGTTGGGGGTGTAGCTCAATGGGTAGAGTGCTTACTTAGCATGCATGAGGCCCTGGGTTCAATCCCTAGCACTGCATAAAACTTGTATGGTAGCAAGTTTGAGGACAGACTAGGATACATGAGACTCTCTTATAAAAATAGAGGGGACTGGAGAGATGGCTCAGCAGATAAAAGCACCGGCTGTTCTTGCAGAAGATCCAGATTTGAATCCCAGCACCCACAAAGCAGCTAACAACTGTCTGTAACTCCAGTTTCAGGAATTCTGATACCCTCTTCTGTCCTCAGCAGGCACTGCATGACAGGTGCACTTACACACATGCAGGCACAACACTCACACAAATAAAATAAAAATAAATTACTAAATAAAAAGAAAATAGAAAAGAAAAAGTGAATTCAAGAATAGCTTTTTTTCTTTAGGATGAAAGAAGGAATAACTCAGTTGCCTAACAAAGAGATGGTCCATTTGGAGGAAAAGCTGACACAACAGAAGGAAAGACACTCTAGAAGTAGTGTCTTTGGGAAGCAAGAGAGGATAGGAGCCATTGAGAAAGAGAGAGACCTACTTTAGATGGAAGCATGGAGAGATGGCCAGAAAGAACTGAAGGGGTTTCCCCAGCTGGGGCTGCAATCTAGACTTCTGGCTCCAGAGCCCAGTTCCTCCCTGCCACACAATTGCCTAATGGTGACCCACTGAATTAATAAGGTGGAGAGCAGTTACACACCAAGACCTGGGTTCAGTCAGAAATCAGAGGAAGGCTTGGGCACCAGGGTTCTGAGGAGACTGGAGTGCCAATGTCCTGCCAGCCTGATGGGCAAGGTGGAGAGGTGGAGAGGGAGACTTCCAGATACTACAGGCTAGGCCTACCTGTCACACCCAACCATAATGTCTCTTCCAGGTATACGCTGGGAATATTCTGTATGAGCACGAAATGTCTCCTGAGCCTTTCTGGGAAGCCCATGACAACATAGAGCTCCTGCTGTCCTTACCACCTGCCCGGGATGTGGCTGCCAACCTTGATGTGATTGTGTCTTTCGAGGCTGCCTGTCCCCAGCGCCCCAGTCGCCTCTGGAAAAACAAAGGTGAATAGTGTGATGAGGTGGCAAGACTGAGGGTGCAGGGAGAGGCTCCAAGAGAAGGGACACAGGGTTGGCCAGCAGCTTCTGTCTTAGTCCCAGGACCTAGGAAGTTATAAGGGACGGTGGATGAGGAACACTGAGATCAGAGGGAGACACAGCCCTTGTCCTTGCAGGGACCATGAGCCCCATCCTGGAGTTTCTGATTTATGAGAGGCACAGACTTGCCCCAGGGCCTCCCTTCTGAGGGTTCATGGCTCTTTCTTCGGTGGACTGGACCTTCATAACCCATGTCTCACTCCTAGGTCTCTGGGTCCCTGAGGGTCAACGGGTCAAGATCACCATAGCTGCCCTTGATGCTTCCAATTTCCTGGCCAGTGTTCCAGCACCTCAGCACACACAGCATGACGTGCTCTTCCAGATCACTCAGTTCCCCACCAGGGGCCAGCTGTTGGTGTCTGAGGAGCCGCTCCACGCAAGAAGGCCCCACTTCCTGCAGTCTGAACTGGCTGCAGGACAGCTGGTGTATGCCCACGGTGGTGGGGGTACCCAGCAGGATGGCTTCCGCTTCCGTGCCCACCTCCAGGGGCCAATGGGGACTTCTGTGTCAGGACCCCAAACCTCTGAGGCCTTTGCCATCACTGTGCGGGATGTGAATGAGCGTCCCCCTCAACCACAGACCTCTATTCCACTCCGGCTCATTCGGGGCTCCCGCGCTCCTGTCTCTCGAGCCCAGCTGAGTGTGGTGGATCCAGACTCAACTCCAGGGGAGATTGAGTATGAGGTACAGCGGGCACCCCACAATGGCTTTCTGAGCCTGGTGGGAGGCAGCGCTGGCCCTGTGACCCACTTCACACAGGCAGACGTAGATGCAGGACAGCTGGTCTTTGAGGCTAATGGGAGCAGTGTGGCTGGCATCTTTCAGCTGAGCATGTCTGATGGAGCCAGCCCCCCACTGCCGATGTCCCTGGCTGTGGATGTCTTACCATCAGCCATTGAGGTGCAGCTGCAAGCACCCCTGGAGGTGCCCCAAGCTTTAGGACGCTCCTCACTAAGCCAGCAGCAGCTCCAGGTGATTTCAGATCGTGAGGAGCCAGACGTAGCATACCGTCTCACTCAGGAGCCCCTGTATGGACAGCTTCTAGTGGGTGGGCAACCCGCCTCTGCCTTCAGCCAGCTGCAGGTAAACCAAGGGGAAGTGATCTTTGCCTTCACTAACTTCTCTTCCTCTCAGGATCACTTCAAAGTCCTGGCGCTGGCCAGGGGTATGAATGCATCAGCCACTGTGAATGTTACAGTGAGGGCTCTGCTGCATGTGTGGGCAGGTGAGCCATGGCCCCAGGGTACCACCTTGCGCCTAGACCCCACTGTGCTAGATGCCAGTGAGCTAGCCAACCTCACAGGCAGTATGCCCCACTTCCGGCTTCTGGCAGGACCCCGATATGGCCGTGTGGTCCGTGTGGCCCGAGCCCGAGCAGAACCTAGGAATAATCAACTTGTGGAGCAGTTTACTCAGCAGGACCTGGAAGAGGGGAGACTGGGGCTGGAGGTGGGCAGGCCAGAGGGTAGGTCCCCTGGCCGAGCAGGTGACAGTCTCACTCTGGAGCTGTGGGCCAGGGGTGTCCCACCTGCCGTGGCCTTGCTGGACTTTGCCACTGAACCTTATCATGCAGCCAAGCCCTACAGTGTGGCCCTGCTCAGTGTCCCTGAGGCTTCTCGGACAGAAACAGAGAAGCCAGAGAGAAGCACACCCACTGGCCAACCTAGCCTAGCAGCATCCACCCCAGTGCCTACTGCAGCCAAGGGCGGTTTCCTAGGCTTCCTGGAGGCCAACATGTTCAGTGTCATCATCCCCGTGTGCCTGGTTCTCCTGCTCCTGGCCCTCATCTTGCCTCTGCTCTTCTACCTCCGCAAACGCAACAAGACAGGCAAGCACGATGTCCAGGTGCTGACCGCCAAACCCCGCAACGGCCTGCCTGGTGATACAGAGACCTTTCGCAAGGTAGAACCAGGCCAAGCCATCCCACTGACAGCTGTGCCTGGCCAGAGACCCCCGCCAGGAGGTCAGCCTGACCCAGAGCTGCTTCAGTTCTGCCGGACACCCAACCCCGCCCTCAGGAATGGCCAGTACTGGGTGTGAGCCCTGGCCTGGGCCCAGATGCTACCCACCCCCCAAACCCACTACTTCTGTGCCCTGATGCTGCCTGGGGATCCCCAGAGCCAAAAAGAACTGGAGATGCCAGGGGTAGAGGAATGGGGATCCTGGACAGAGTGGAATCAAGAGCTGGAACCTCCCTCAGTTCACTTAGACCTGGAGAACCACAGGGGCTACAGTGGGAAGCAGACTAAAGTCATCCTGCTGCCCAAACCAGGTTGACCTCCTAGGTGGGTCACAACTCTGCTTCTTGGGTCTGTGACCTTAGGTAAGTCACATCTGACTTAGGCTGCCAAGAAGGTCCGGAGAAGAGAGCACCCTGGGTTTTCCATCCCAAGCCTGATCTCCTCTTGTCTCTGCCCCAGACCTGAAGGACAAACTCTCTCACTCTGGTGTTTTAGGGAGATGCTATTCCCTGGAGCTGAGCAGGGAGGTGTGTTAGCCGATAGATTAATATATTCAGGGTGCAGGGTGGGTTGGGCTGCTCTGGGGCTGGCTTATTTAAGGCAAGAAAGTTATTTAACATGGTGCTGGGCTACCCAGGCCTGATGGAACCCCTGAGGGTATGGGATGGAGGAGGATCTGAAGCTAGTTCACTCCCAGGTCCTACTTGGAAGCCCTGAAGCATTGGTGGACAGCCCAAAGCAGCCTAGTTTGGAGAGGGCCACTCTGTTGGCCATGTCCCTCTAAGGACTAGGGAACAGGCAGGTTGGGGCACTTGGCTTCATGGAGCCTGGTTAAATGGTGCTCCAGGGGCTCTGGACAGCTGAGTGTTGTTTTTGTCAGACTATGCCCTGGGCTCTTATCCATGGTGGCCTCACTCCCATGGGACAGGTCTCACAGGGTTGGGGATGGGCAGATCTGGACAAACCTCTGAATTTTCACCTCCTGGGGCCTTCCTGAAGTCCTCTACCCCTACCTGTATGGGCAGGTGGGCCATTTGTTGAGATGGGACCAAAGCCCTTCCTCTATAAGGAACTTCAGGGAAAGAATAAAAATAAATACTCCCAGCCCTAGACTTCTTAGCCTGAGTTTTGACCTCCACAGCCCTGTCCTTCCCCACTTACTACCCATGTGGTTGAAACAGCAAAGGTGAGGGAAATGGGGGTACTTAGGGACCCCAAGGCTTGGGACACAGTGCCCAAAGGGAGGATTTGGGCTTCTAGGCTTAAAACAATTTTTTGATTTATTTTTATTTTATGTATATGAGTGTTATGTCTGCATGTAAGTGCACCTGTGTCATGCAGTGCCTGCAAAAGACAGAAGAAGGGGGCTGGAGAGATGGCTCAGTGGTTAAGAACCCTGGTTATTCTTGTAGAAGACCCGGGTTCACCAAGTCTCCAAAAGGCTATTCTATGAGTTGCTAGGAAGACATCATTCTCTAGTTCTTCAGAGGTTGATGATGTCACAGGATTGGAAGTAATGGAGACAGATTCTAGATCCCCAGGGGATCATCTGGCCCTGAGAATGGGTTAAAGCCATTAGAAGAGAAACACAAAGCCCAGCACTTGGGAGCAGGAACATTAAGAATTCAAGGTCATTCTTAGTTACATAGAAAGTTACAGGCAAGCCTGGGCTACATGAGAGCCTGTCTCAGAGAAACAGATAGAGAAAGAGAGAGAGACCGAGAGAGAGAGAGAGAGAGAGACAGAGAGATTTAATGAACTCTGGGAAAAAATAATAGACTACCTTAGGTTGGGGATAAAAGCCTCAACCAGCCTGAGGTAGGTGACCTACATCTGGGAACCAGAGTGACCTTTTCATGTGTCCCAATATCTGACCTGTAACATTTGAGCCAGGAACAAGGGCAGGGGAAGAGCCTCCCTCCTCCTCACTGTCCTGCCCCAGGACCATCTCACAGCATGCAACCCATTTCAACATCTAGATCCCAGGGCCTCCCCTCTTAGACCTTTGGGAAGGAAACCTGGAATCTAATGTATCATTGCTAAAGGGGCCTCCGGAAGAACAGGGAAGACAAGGAGACAGGATGGGGGTATGTGAATGTCAACCAAAGTCACACAGCAAAGTAACTATAGACAAGACCCCCTAAAGCTCAGCAAGGCTCTTCATGCCACACTGAAAAGTACTGCCCCCTGGAGGATGGCCAGAGCCTGTAGGCTTAGAGATGACCCTGGTCCCCAGAAACGCTGTGTGTCTTGAGCCCCCAATACTAGCTTCCTTTTACAAGTCTAGCATCGCTGGCACCCCCAGGTTAGGGAGACACAGCCAACAGTGTCTCCATACCGTACTTGCTCTGCCCTGTCACTCCCAGAAGGTCAAGGCTGGATCCTCAGGGCCTATATATCTGTGGCCAGTCTCCACCCAGGGTAACTTGTTTCCCTGAGAATGTAAGTCAAGATGGGGGTGACAGACCCGCCAGGCAGGATCTGCCCTCATCTCCAATTTCTTCCAGAGGACTGATGACACTCTCTGTTCACACAGCCTGGTCTGCCCTGCCCCCAGGCACTGGCACAGGCTGACACTGCTCTGCTGCTTTGAGCCTGGGCTAGATGGTGAGCTGGCACCCAGGCACTGTACCAACAGTCTTGCCAGGATCTGAGAGAGGGTCTTATACTCCACACCCAAGCTGGACACCTAATTTAAACGTGAGGCCTTGTCCCATTCAGATACACTCCCAAAGCTTAAGGGGGTTGCTGTCCCCTCTACTAAATAACTCACCAAGGCTGTGAGCATAGCTCAGTGGCAAACTTGCATAGTGTGTACAAGGCCTTGGGTTCAATTCTCAGCACCACAAAAACAAAGAGGAAAAAAAAACAAACAAACTATACCATCTCCTCCCTTTAAGGGGCCTGCTGGAGATAGGAACCAACCTGTGGACCATGTTCAAGATGTTGGGGAACTTAACCCTCTGCTTTATACACATACACAAATAAACAATGTGCACTTGTATACATTGTTATATATGAGAACACGGATTTGCTTATAACATTTCGACACACTCACAGAACTCAGGATCTGTCTACATAATATATAATCTGTGCTGGACAACATACAAGCTTTGAAAGCATGTCCTCCTTGCTTGTGGCCCTCCCAGGTGCCTAGGAGCTAAGGGGGCTAGGACATCCAGCCCCTTGAGGGACCTACGCCAACATCAGAGTTGACAAGTGAACCCATGAGTACAGAGAGGAGTTGCCACAGGGGCCCAGATACCAAGATTACTGAGTATCTACCTTGGAAACTCTGCCTACTGCCCTAAATAATTTAGTCTCTTAGGGGCTAAAGAACGAAACCCTCTAAAAGCTGGCCCTTTAAGTGGGGTTGCTATAGCAGCTGTGGAGTCCACTAAGTTAGAACACTCATCCTCCAATAGGAAACCAGAGAAGTGCTTCCTCTAGCTCCAACCCAATCTCTGACCAATAGGAACTACCAGAGCTGTTGGTATCTTCCTCACAACCCAGAAGATTTTAGGTCTTATAGGAGTGGAGGTCCCTGGGCAGACCTCCAGATTTCTCTGATTGGCTCTCCTGTTCCTGCCCACCTGTGAAGGTGTCCTGGTAAGTGGGTAGAACTGGCTTGCTGTCCATCTTGCCCTAGGTTCTCAGTAAATACTATATCCTTGTGCACATTCTAAGATTACTCAGGCCTTGGCACAACATTTTGTGCCAAAATTGTTGTGGGATATACAGATAGGAATCCACTCAGCCCTTCCTGAAGAGTCCCAGACATTCCAATAAATAACTACCACACCACAATATGTGCCTCAACCCAGTAGTATGAGCTAGTCAGTGAGGGGAAGCCCAGAATGGGAGGGCTGACTCTCCCTGTCTGCTCTCTTCTCTCCTGAGAGATTGCCAGGCATTTCCGTGGAAGAGGTGGCATGCAGCCACTGGAGCTGATCATGTTTACCACCTGATTATATTTCCATCTTCAGTGTAATGAATTATAGTATTTAACTGATGGCTGTTGTCCTCATAAAGGGCGTCACCTCCTCAGAGGGCCTCCTGTGGCCACCAGGATAATTAGTGGGCTGAACTGTGTTCCTTCCCATTTCAGATGTGAAATAACCCTTGGCTAAATCAGTCAGTTACCAAGAGAGGACTTTTTTATTCAAACAGGGCTGCAGCTGGGGCTAGAGGAGTTCTTGCTCCTGTTCCCAACCTGAGCATTACCAGTTTGCTAGCCCAGAACCTGGTCTTTTCTTTTCTTTTTTGATTTTGGTCTCACTATGTAACCCCCAGCTGTCCTGAAACTCTCTATGTAGACCAGGCTAGCCACCATCTTGAAGAGATCCACCTGCCTCTGCCTCCCGAGTACTGGGATTAAAGGTGTGTGCCACCACGGCAGGCTGAGTCTAAAGTTAATCACAAAATGCCTTTCTGATGCTTTGGGATTTGCAGAGGACTTGCATTATCTAGTTTCTGGGTCATAAAAGCGCAAATGTGATGAATTGTCTTTGTCTTTGCTGCTGAAAATGATTCATGGACCAGCAGCACCAACATTTTAGAAATGAAGAAAAGATAAACTGGGCATGATGGCCACATGCCTGTAATTCCAGCATTTGGGAGGTGGAGGCAGGAGGATCAGAAGATCAAGGCCAGTCTGTGCTACCTACTGAGTTTCAATTTGAGGCCAGCCTAGTTCTCAAAAAAAGAAAAAAGAAATGAAGAACCAAGATGTAGCTCAATTCTAGAGCACTTACCTAAGCATGTGCAAAACTCTGGGTTCAGTCTTTAGCACTGCAAAAAGGACATGAAGAACCTCAGGCCCTGCCCCAGATGACTGAGTCAAACTTCATTTTAATAAGGTCACAGGTGATTAGAATACACATAGCGGTATTCTATGAAGGTCTCCCCTCAACTTGGAGCTAATTCATTACACTGAGAGGCAGGGACCTCTCAGTAGGCCAAGGTCACACAGTTAGTGGCTGGACTGGAAGGAATCAGGCCTCACAACCCTGTCCCAAAGTTTTGACTTTCACTTCATGCTGCCATCTGTATTTCCTTGCACATTTACGAAGTCTCCCACATGCCCTACAGACTGAGAGGTTCTGAAATGGATGGGTTCTAATCACAAGGAGTTCCACCAAGGACAAGAGAAGGAAGTTGAAGAGGGCTCTGGCAGCCAGATCTAAAGCAGTGGAGGACTTGAGGAAACAGTCTACTCCCACCTGCCAATCATACTGCCTTCTGTGGTCCGACTGGTCCCACCTGCCAGAGAGAAGGACAAAGAGAGGTGTCTGACCAAGGTCACCAGTCATCCACAAAGGTCTCCACCTGGGAGAATAGCTGTCAACAGCAGAGGTGTAGAATAAAGTCTACCAGGCCTGGCCAGGAAAGGAGGGAGGGCCACCCAGAGTTCTCCATCCACACACAGTAAGAAGTTGGGCATCGTAGCACATGCCTATCATACTAGAACTTGGAGGTCAGAAGCAGGAAAACCTCAAATTCCAGACCAGCTTGGGCTACCCAGTGAGACCTCATCTCATAATAATAACAATAATAATACAGACAGTGGGACTAAGGCTGTTTCGCTGTCTTTTCTGCTCCCTGAAGCCTATAATGCTGTGACTGACCCCCACCCCCTGCCTGTGTGCTGTCCTGGTGTGGGGAGAGACTTTACTCTCCCTACTCCTCTCTCCTCTGGGTTGCTGCACGTTTGGCCTGGACAGAGGCCCAGCCCTTCTCATTTTATAGTAAACATTGTTCAGTTCTGTCCACTCATCAAGGCAGAGTCCAGCCTACCCCAACCACTGTTATGCCCAGTGCTAGTTATACAGTGGTTTGCAGAAGTTATTACTAGAATATAGCACTTCCCTTTCCACAGAGACACCCTCAGACCAAGAAGCCTTTGGCCCCAAGACTCCTTGAGCTCCCACTCTGGTTCCCCTAACTCCCTCACCCCCAGGGATGCTGACTGGGCTCTAACCGCTGTCCTGCCACCAAGAGCTCTGCCAGCACCTAGGCAGGTAAAGCCCCATACTGAATTTCTATGAGGCAGATTTACTTTACCCTCCCAGACTCTTCAGAGCTTGTTTCTTAGCCCGACCCCCACCCCATA